TCGAGACTACGAAACCATCTGTACGCGAGCCCGGTGAGAGACTTGGAGAATTCTCGAAGGCGTAAGATTTTGTCATGGCTATGTTGGCCTAGAGATTCCATGAATCTTTGCAAGTACTCATCGGCATCCCCTTTAACCCCGTTGTATTTAGGAAATTTTGGGATGATGTACCCCTGTGGGTACGGCGTCTGAGCCAGGCTTTTTGGGTACGGAGGCTCCGTACGTAAAACTAACGCACGTGCAGCCGATGGGGCATGCTTTATGAAAAAATCACGTAGCATGGACTCAGTGACATATTCTGGGGAAGGGTTAGCCGATGGAACCGCTTGAACTGGGGTAGGCTTTGGGGCTGCTTGGGCTTGCGTCGGCGGATACCATAGTGGTGGCACGTGAGTAGATGAACTACCTGGCTGATCATGCTCAGGAAGGGCCACTTTAATGGGAGAAACAGTTCTGGCTCGTGCACTCTGCATGATCAAGGCTTCCAACCTATCAAGGCAGTCGTTGAGATCAGGGTTGGACTGCAACAACTCCTCATGAACGGAAGGGGCTGCTGAGCTTTCCGGCATTGTGATATATGGTGCACGAACATTGGAAGCACGTGACGGTGCCTGGGAGTGAAGAGGAACGTCACCACCTCCTCCAACAGAGGGCTCCGAATGACGAGTTGGTATATCCTGTGATTCTATCTGCTTGTACTGATATCCCGAGTGAAGTCGCCAAAATGTAGGGGTTCTTTTTTACTAGGTAATAATACAGCAATAAAATAGTGATATCAGGAATACAAATATGAAGGAAAACAGAGGAGATGCTCAGTGCAGGAGGAGGAGAAGAAGACCAACTACCAAGATCAAGATGGTAGTAGGGCGAGTATACAGTATTTCATGACAGCTTTGCTTCCTTTCAAGGGGTTGGATCTTTCTTCATAGGACAGTGCCATTTATAGATCTAGATTCCATTGGTTATCATCCAATGGTCCCTTTTATGCATAGTCCCTCGCATGCATCACCCCCAATCCGGATTACGTGAGTAATCCTGAAGATTTAGGGGTCTGAAGGGTCTAATCCTTTCCTCGAGCCTTGTCCTATGTTGCCATGCCACTTCTCCCCTAATCAGGGGCATTAAATATTGCTTGGCCGTCGGTTGGTCAAGCCTGACATAGCATTAATTGTGATTTTAAGGTTTGCTGTCACGACGTGTATAATCCCATCATCTTGTTAATTGGGCCTTGCCGAGAGCGAATGCACCTCTTGACTTCTCATCTACCAATTCAAGATCCTCCTAAGTTTCCCAAATATGGATTCCTATGACACGAAGATCCTACCTTCATCTCATGCTAAGGAGCTCTAATATTTCAAAACAGCATCGTCTGGCGTAACACCAGGATTCGGGATATTCGAGAGTCGGTCTCTCGAGACTTGATGGGCCTGGTGTAGTGTGTAATACCCCTAATTTTAAAAAGGATATTCCTGGTATTTAATGGTATTTAATTTATTATTTAAGTGCATTTTATTTTATTATGTGTCATTATTTTTTTTTTATTAGGTGCTTAATTGTTTTCTTTTGTGGTGATTTAATTTATTTAAATGATATTTATTTTTAGTTATTTGATTGGAATTACTTGTTAGTGTTTTAATTATTTAAGTGACATTAATGGTTTAAGTGTAATTGGTTTAGTTATTTGATTGGAATTACTTGTTAGTATTTTAATTATTTAATTGACATTAATGGTTTAAGTGTAATTGGTTTAATTATTCTATGTGTGTCTTATTTTATGTGTGTCTTATTTGGTTTAATTGGGTTTACTAATTATTATTTTGTTCAATTAGATTATTTGTTAAGTATTTAATGGTAAATAGGGTAATTAGGTAAATACATCTAACTAGGGTTTTAATTATAGTATAAATTAGGGTTTTATATTATAGCCGTCGTAGGTTTCTACGTTAATTGGATGGGCCGGTTAGGATTGTGAGTTGGACTTAAATGAACCTAGGGTTTAGGAAAACTCTATAAGTATAAGGTAGACGTCTGTGTAGGGTTTTTTTTAAACAAAGCACAGGTTTTTTCCATTCTGCCCAGATTTCATCAAACATCCGATCCCGCTTTGTCCGTGGTCCGATCGAGCTGAATTTTGGAGGAGAGGTTCACGACTCAGTGACGCACAATCTGAACGGTGAAGATCAGATTTTGAGTTCGGGAATAGTGTTTCGTACCCGTGAACAGTAACCGGATTTTGGAAGTCGCACAGGTTTTTTTCCATTCTGCCCAGATTTCATCAAACATCCGATCCCGCTTCATCCGTATTCCGATCGAGCTGAAATTTGGAGGATAGGTTCATGACTCAGTGTCGCATAATCTGAATGGTGGAGATCAGATTTTTAGTTCGGGAATAGTGTTTCGTACCCGTGAACAGTAACCGGGTTTTGGAACTTGCCGGGATTTTTTAAGAAGACGACGTTGAAACTTTGAACAAAAGTTTATGAGGCAAGATTCTATCCTTACTCTTTCCCTTAGGCTTCATACTCTTTGCACTCTTAAATGATTCCAGGATTAATGAAGATTAAACCAAACTAAAATGATATCTGTTTTGCTATGAAACTGGTAGTTACAGTAGTGTTGTATGCTTGTTCAACCTAGACTAAGCATGTTTGTGGATGCATTGTGGTTCTGTGGTTCACGTTTTTCCTTACCACTGCTAGTATAAATTATTGGAAGGATGGGTCTAGATGATAGCTATCTTAACTTCTATAATAGCAACTGTTGGAACTTAAATACTAGGAGGATTTGAGTTTAACACTAGATCGGTTTTGTGGAACACTATAATTTGAGCATGTCTACATACATACTGTGAATATTGTTTTGATGCTTACATTATCACAGTTAGTATCAACTGTGGAGGTTAGGATTTTGTGATACATACCCTACATATCTGTATGTCATTTGTAAGGTGTTAAATGGAAGTTTTAATTAATTCTGTCTTCATATCAAACTAAAGGGAACAACTTAAATTGGGCATGTATATGTTGTTGTTGTGACCCTGTTTATCAATGCTTATTTTATTACTGCTAACATTGAATGTTGGATGTTGGAATTTAGTTGATATATATTTGATTTATTGGTATTATTGACTACTGGAGGATTGGAAAGTAGGCACCGGTATGGGACGGTGGCATACTAAGGATGGGTTTGGTTTTTAAAACAATACCATTACCCACCTACTTGGAATAAGGATGGGATTAACTAAAAGTTAAGTCCCGTGGATTTGTATTGTCATGGCAACTACTTGTTGAGCGGCAATACCAGGGATTTTGGATGGATTTTATATATGTACTGTTATGGTGCCTCGGTATGAGCTTGAGCCTCAGGACTGATGGCTTGGGAGCGTATATCGGGATGTGTAGCTGGCTACGATGGTTGGAGGTGTACCCTGTTTAGGTATAGGTACATATGCCCACTTCGTGTGCGTTTTAGCATGTTACCTCTATTCAGGTTGGGACCGGCCTGTAGTCCAGTGAGAGTCCTTTAGTGTGACTATATATATATTTACGGACTATTAACTATTGTTGAGTTGTTTAGGATGTACATGCGTATCGGGCCTCTGTTTGGATTGTAGTAGTATAGAACTTGCGCGTGGGCCTGACCCACTTCTATTTTTCAGGTGACAGTTCCAGACTTAGACGTGTTCGTGCTGAGCAGAGGTCTCTATTCACTCTTCCGACGATGTATGGCTCTCTCTATAGTTTTATTTTTGGACGTTTATTACAGTTGTTCTATCTTCCGTTTGGATGTTTAATAGGGGTCCACTAGAGATGGATTCCCAAGTTGTAAACTGATGGAGTTTTGGAGTTTGGGTTTGATGGATTTTAATAATTATAATATTTTGCGAATTCTATTTTTAGTTCCTTCCAGCTTTAATTTCATTTCTTAATTTATTTTGTATTCCGTGTTCATTATAAAATATTAATTGTTTGATATTCCCTCGGGTTTGGGCCTGTGCCTGATCAACCCGTGTCTCGGATCCGAGGGGTATCACATAGTGCCAGGGTTTGGAATGCTTGAGGATCAGCTTCTCGAGGCTTATTGGGTTTGGAGCGATGCTAGGGCTTAGAGTGCTTGAGATTTGATCTTTCGAGGCTTAATGGGCCTGGAGCAATGCCAGGGCTTAAAGTGCTCGAGATTTGATCTTTCGAGGCTTGAGGGCCTAGAGCGATGCCAGGGCTTAAAGTGCTCGAGATTTTATCTTTCGAGGGTTGAGGGCCTGGAGCGATGTCAGGTCTTAGAGTGCTCGAGATTTGATCTTTCGAGGCTTGGGGCCTAGAGCGATGCTAAGGCTTAGAGTGCTCGAGATTTGATCTTTCGAGGCTTGGGGGCCTGGAGCGATGCCAAGGCTTAGAGTGCCCGAGATTTGATCTTTCGAGGCTTGAGGGCCTAGAGCGATGCCAGGGCTTAGAGTGTTCGAGATTTAATTTTTTGAGGCCTTTGACTTTTCAACTTTCCAGAAGAATTTAACTAGGGTTGTATTGACTTGTCAATGTGTCACGTCAACATGAGTGACACCCACATATACATATATACATATACATATATATATGTAAACCAATCTGAAACATAAAAACGTTTGTTTTTTCTTCAAAACCATTCTATTGGGAATTCAAGTCTCAAGTCTCTAGTCTCGATTACTCACCTATAGATATTAGTTTAACTAATAAAACTTTAGTAGGTTAGAAATATATGTGTACATATATATAAACCGATCTGAAACATAAAAACGTTTGTTTTTTCCCAATGATAATATCTATAGGTGAGTAATTGAGACTGGAGACTTGAGACTTGAATTCCCAATGGAATGGTTTTGAAGAAAAAACAAACGTTTTTATGTTTCAGATTGGTTTTGAATCTCGATTGGTGAAATTACACAACGACGTCGTATATTAAATCTAAACAGCAAACATGATGGTGGTGCCCTTGGTGGACTGTAAGTGTCTGTAATGCTCTGTAAACCAAATACGACATCGCTTTGTCATCCTATAAAAATAATATTTCAATCTCGGGCTTTACCCGCCGGCGAATCAATTTGCTCAGAACTCCAGAAGAGAGAGAGAGAGATGGAAGAGGGAGCAATTCTGAAACTTTACGAGCTCCAATACTCAGATCTCATGCTGTTATCTTCAGAAGAAGTTCCATCATCATCATCATCATCATCATCATCGGAAGAGATCGAACGGCTAGAATCGATCACCAGGAGCGTAATGGAAAACCTAGGACCGAGAGGACCAGGTCTGCTAGCAATCACTGGGGTTCCCGATGCTTCCGAACGCCGTCGAACACTCCTTTCGCTTGCCCGAAAGCTCGCGCTTGTTGACACCGACGACCGCAAACGCATTCTCAAGGTAATACTTACTTAGCTTTCTTTTACCCTCCGTTTGGTGGCTGAGAAATAAACTGAAGAAAAATGGATAGGAAAAGAAAAAGCTCGCCTAAACTAATCCAAATAGTCGTAGTATGCCCGATTTAACAATTGTGACATTAGTTTGTATATAATTATATATGTGGCTGTTTTGGATGGTTTATGCAAGGATGGTATATGCAATTCAATGTAGTTAATGCAGATGGTTTCTAACTTTCTAGTACTGCATTATTTCAATTTCTCCGATTAACTGAGCAGAGAACTATTTTGATGAAGGATAGTTTTATCAATTTTTTCTGGGTTCAGGTTCATCACATCGTATCAACTTGAGTACACCCATTCTTGAATCTTGATACCTAATAAACAAAAACTCACTACTCACTAGCTTTTAGTAATTAGGTTTCTTATTCTATTTTTTGTAATTTTTAGAGAAAGTTGAATTTTTTGAATTTTGGGCAGTTCTCTTATGATGCTAATTTTGTTACATTGTTAGGTTTTGTTAGTTTTGATAGGTTTTGTTATCTTTTTAGTTTCCTCTGATAGGTTTCCTTATGCTGTTATAATATGCATGTACTGCGTTAATTCAGTTATTAATAATATATTAGATTGCTTTGCAAATTTTCTTTTAATTTTGTGGATTGAAATTTATTTTCTTGTTAGATCAAATTTTGCCTAAAAAACACGGTTGTTCGGATATATATGGTTTCAATTGCGTCTCCCTCATAGATGAGATTCTTTGGAACAAGATTGAAATCTAGCACATAAGCAAACACTAAACATAATGTCCGGCCTACTAGCCGTTAAATAGAGAAGACTGCATTTGATTCATCCGAATCCCAAACTTTGGGTTGAGACCCTATAATACTCCACCACGAGCAGCATAATGTTCATTTTCCTCAAACTCCTTTCAAATCATCACCATGGGTGGAGATCCTATAATACTCAACCATGAGCACCATAATGCTCCTCTTTACTGAGTCATTGAGAGAACCACAGCAAGCACAAGTAATAGAAGCTCATGAAACCCTAGAAAGTCAAATGAAAACTTATAGATCTATCATGTTGTAGATAACAAGATACGCCCTGTTAATCTATCATCTTAAGCAAATAATGATGCGCGTATTGATCTATCAACCTAAAAACACTGGCAGGTTCCCCTTCGTGAAGGAATTCCTGACCTTCTCCCAAGTGTTAGGCTGAACCGCTGGTGTAGGGGGTGCCTGCTGAGGAGGTTGCTGATTCTGACGTGTTACCGCTACTCCTGCAGCTATAGCCTGAGCAGTTTAGTCTGTTCACTTGTGTATGTGATCATGTTATTTGTGTGTGGGATGATACATTGTGTCTGGGAGCTCAATGTCTCAATTTTCAGAATGTTTCAAGGGCTGCAAAACAGGTTTATGCAGTTTTCTTGCATGTGTCCATCTAAGGGGCAATTCACAGCAAGATATAACCACTATGTACTGAAATCAAAAGGCTAAACCAGAAAAAAAAAAGAAGCACAAACATAGGTCTGAGATATCAAATACAAATGCAGCAGTGTAAATATCAAGAACATGATTTCTGCAGATGTAAAATGGTAAAGCACACTTGCCTTAACCTTGTCTAAGCACCTTAGCTTGACATTAATCACTGCTATGGTAATATTGTTCTAACCCTTCTCCTATTTTTGTTCTCATTGCACATTGAGGACAATGTGTGGTTCAAGTTTGTGGGTAAGGCAATATAATTGAAATTTGGTTGATTAATTGCACACTAAAAATTTGTAATTTTCAGAGCTTAAAATTATATGAGTTGAGAGTATGTGATTTTAAGAACTTTTTAATGAAAAAAATTATATTTTTGCAATTATAAAATTCAAATTATGAATGCAACGCAGGTGTTAAAGTCGTTTCTAGGCTAAAAAAAGAGTCACCTCAGCAAGCCATTGGGATCCTCCTCTTTGCTTTTCACCGCCTCGAGCACCTCTGAAGTTGCACGCGCACATAAAAACCTTCCTTGGCTTATATTCTGAAATATCGCCTATCGGAACTGAACCTTTACTCTCTATTTCTACCTTCTCCTGATCCTTCCATACAAATCGTACACCCTTTTTATCGTATAGGTGATCGGTATCAAAATCTTGGAAAACCCCTTTATAGTCTGGCAATGAGAACCTGCTAACTCCATAAAACCAATAATTTCCAAAGATGAGGTAGACTGCCCCCATTCAATAATGGTGAAAATCGTAACTGGATTCACATACAACCCCAAATCACTTGATCGATCCTAACTCCTCTACATCTGAACTTCTCATCATCGGAATAATCCGCATAGGCTAGAGGCCTACGTGGAGGTATAGGAACATAATCCATGTTCGGTTGGCTGCAAGAAACATTGTCAGCACAATCCAGAATTGGATCATGAATTAGATTTCCACCAATTCTAAGACCAGCAATCTGTTTATACCATTTATCAAAACGGCACTTTGTAATCATCGTCGCCAAAGTGGTTGTTACCAAAACGATTAATCACCATCAAACTAATGTAAAATAAGGCTCTGATACCAATTGACGAAGCAAAAGCTATGAACATTCAATAATGAATGAGAGAACAACTTTAAATCTACAAAGTTAAAAGAAAATTTGAAGATTAGTCTAATATATTATTGATAATTGAATTAATGTATAATTTTGAAACTAGCAGCATAAGGAAACTGCCCAAAATTCAACTTTTTCTAAAAATTACAAAAGAATAGAATAAGAAACCTAATTACTAAAAACTACTAAATACGAAAATTCAGAATAATCCGACTCCGTTCACGAACAAAAATTCTTTAATATTTTACAATCTTCCTATAGGAGTGAAAAACACAATTTCAGGTCCCTAAAATACTGAATTTGGCCGAAAGCAACATTTTATTGGGTTGTTTTCAATCAAGAATATGTCTTCTCGAATTGAAACAATGTGATCGACATGAACCCAGAAAAGTTGATAAAACTGTCCTACATCATGTTTCAAATTAAAGTATTCGGAATACAGCGTAATTTTGAAGGGTCGTGTGCCATTTAGGGTTTGTTTGGTTAGATTGAAGTACCAAGAAAGGAAAAGAAAAGAAAACTATTAAATTTTTTATGAGTTTTGATAGGATGAAAAGGAAATTAAATTTTTTATTAGAAGTAGCAAGAAAGGAAAGGAAAGGAAAAATATTTAATTATTTTATGAGTTTGGAATTTGGATGGGGTGAATAGGAAATTTTTTAGTAAATAGGATTCCACAAGTGGTTGATTTTCTCCAAAATGTTTCCTGCGTAAAACACAAAAATTTTTTAGTTTCCCGTAAACGTTGTGCCTTAATATTTTAGTTTCCTATTATGCCCCTATCAGTTATTTTTCTTTATCTCTTTCCGCAGACTTCATGACAGAGATGAGTTTTTTTTTTTTTTTTTTTTTTTTTTTTTTTTTTTTTTTTTTTTCTGAATGTATTAATTTAATAGTTTATTATATATGCATACAAAATTGATTCTTTATTGTATTTTTCTCCTTCCAATAATTGCTAAGAGTGGTATATTCATACATTTATATATAAATAGTCTTTTTGTTGAGAGCATTATATAATATATACACTATATACACATCCTCCTCTTCTATGACAATAGAATCTCCAATAAAGCCATCCAATAACCATTCCCGAAAATGCCATTGGAGAATTAGAATGTAAGCGCAAAGGTTACACATAATTGCCTATGAGGCCATGTGGGAAATATACTTAAAGAGTCCAAGTGCAAAGGTTACTGGTTGGGCATTTATCCACATGGACTCTAATTCTTCAATTATCTACTAAAGTGTATAAACATTTATATCATTATATTTAATAATCCATCATTTTACTTTTTTTTTTGGGGGGGTTAAAAAAATTGAATATAAACAATTGGGTATAAAGATGATTATTCCAACACAAATTCATTTATTTTCCTAATATTTGGAATCATAAAGGTAGTTTTGGTAAGTACAATCATTATCTTTTCACTTTCATGTTATCCAAACTAGGAAAAAAAAGAAATTTCACAAAAAATTTCATGCTAACCAAAAGCATGTTGGAAACTTAATTTTCCTTTCCTTTACTTCACTTTCTTGTAAGGGTCTGTTTTATTAAACGGAAATTAATAGTTGAATGTGAAAGTAAAGAGAGTGAAAGTGAAGGTAAGGAAAATTAAAGTTTGTAACTTGCATTTGGTTATCATTGTGAAAAAATATTATATTGTTAGTTTGGATAGGATGAAAGTGAAAATAAATTGATTGTACTCATCAAAACTATAATTATCAAAAGAAAAAGAAGTAAAATAATAATTGATTAATAAAAATAATATAATTGTTTATATAGTTCAGTAGATAATTGAAAAATTAGAGTCCGGAAACCTTTGCACTTGGAAAAGTATATTATCAGTAACCTTTGCACTTGAACTCTATCCTTTGCACTTGAACTCTAATTCTTGAATGGCTTTTTCGGGAATGGTTAATGTATCACTTCATTGGAGAATCTATTGCAGAAGAAGAGTAAGATGTGTGTATATTATATAATTCTCTCAACAAATACTCTATTTATCTATATGTATATACCTCAACAATTATTAACTATGGAAGGGGGAAAAATACAATAAAGAATCAATTCTTTATGCACATATAAAAAATTAAAACTATAAACAATTGAATTAATACTCCATAATCATATAAACTTGGCAATTTACAGAAGAAGAAAATTCAAATCTTTCATAAAGTCTGTGGAAAAGAGATAAGAAAAATAATTGATAGGGAGATAATAGGAAACTAAAATAGGCACAATTTTTTGTGGGAAACTAAAATTTTCGTGTGTTTTATGCTGAAAATATTTTGGGGAAAATCAGCCACTTTAAGTTTAGGAATACTAGTTTCCTAAATTTTTTCCTTTTCATCCTGTCCAAACTCATAAAAAATTTATATATTTTTAATTTCTTTTCCTTTCTTGCTACTTCTATCTAACCAAACAGACTCTTAGGTTAGTGAAGAAAAATAAGATAATGTGAATTATGTATGTGGATATAGATAAAAATCTTATTGTCTAAAATAATAAAAAATTAAATTGATTAAAAGATTTGTAGATAACATCGGGCATAAATTAAACCATTCTTAGAGTGTAGTTTAGCTTCAACCTGTATAACTTGTACTGCACAACCATATTTGGTGTCTTTCCAAGAGCTCCTCACGGATAAACCATTACTTATCAGATTTTATCCATAAAAAAGAAAAAGCAGTGTAATGTTGCTATAATCAGTCTTTACAGAAAGAGGCGGCAGTGGAAGAAAAACAATGGGATTTTTAGTTGAGGTTTGTACATTTAAAATTTCTGCTTTCACTACAACTATTTAGCTCTTCATTTTTATTTATTGTTATTTTGGTGTTTGGATGATTTGGTGTAGAATGATCATACTCGACTCAACAAAGTCTATTTCAACTATTTAGGTTTGGTTACATAAATCCTATTTTCTTTTCCATTTTAAAGCCATAACCTTAGGCAAATCACATTGTGTCATATATGGTGTATGATAGTCATATATTTGCAGATTTTGGGAAATACTTGAAGTTTAAGATTACATCAAACTCAGTTTGGTCATTGTGAAAACTGAGGAAAAGGATAGAAATTAAAAATTTGAACATATATTTTTGTTTGTTATTAAGACAATATTGGCATTTTTTGAACTACACCAAATGTTTGTGTTATGTTCAATTCAGTGGAGGTTTTCGTTTCCTTGGTTGCAGATAATAAAAAATGTAAGAATAGTAGTTATCTAAATATATCAGATGCAACGTGGAGATTACAAGTTCTAGTGATCAATGGAACATGACTCGAGGGTGGTGGTTCACTGTAAGATCTGTGTAGGTGATCAGGCAATTTGGAACAAATCAGTATCACACTCTAATGAGAACTTTGCCTTCAGTAGCTTTTGAATGACAGAAATGGATGAAAAACTTGGCTTTGTTTGACACAGTTCTTAGAATTAGTTTATGTTCTTTAAGGTATAGAAGATAGCAAGTTTGAAAGTCTGTTTCATTTGCTCATGTTGAAAACTGTTCAGGAAGTCAAGTTTTAAAAATACCAGCGTTGCTATTACATCCGAATGATACTCTCTATATCCTGTCTTTCAGTTTCTGGTCACAGTCGAAAATACTAAAGTGATTGTATGGTTTTTATTTTTATCAGGAAAAAATTTAAGAGAAGTGACTTAAAAAATAAATCAAATAGGCCCTTACAATCCCTTTGTTAGTGAAAGGAAGGTAATTTTATGAATGCTCTAGAAAGCGACCCTTCATAAACCAGAATAAGCCTTGCAGTTGACTTGTTAGTGAAGTTCTGATACTAACAATTTAGCCAGGGTCCCATTTGAAGGTTGTAAGCTAACTGTTTCCATGGTGGTGTTGTATTAGCTCGCTTCCAAAACATGGAATATCTCCTGCACAAGATCCTGTTCAGACATGTTAATAGATCCTGTTCAGACATGTTAATATCTCCTTGCAGTTGACTTGTTAGTGAAGTTCTGATACTAACAATTTAGCCAGGGTCCCATTTGAAGGTTGTAAGCTAACTTTTTCCATGGTGGTGTTGTATTAGTTCGCTTCCAAAACATGGAATATCTCCTGCACAAGATCCTGTTCAGACATGTTAATAGATGCTTACTTCACAACCTTTATATTGTTAGGAGGATCAAGAATGGATCATTGCGTCACAGTTTGGAGTTTGAAGAATGAAAAACTATTTTCTCGTCTTTTCATTACGTAAAGCCTACTTTTTAAAATGTAGTCATCTTGTTGGGTTTTGTAATTATAAGTGTCTCCTAATAAAGAGGAATTACTATATTCTTTTTTGGTGAGAAATGTAGCACTATTAATTATTTTATTTAGTTATTTATTAATTATTATTATTATTATTTTTAATATACCTACAGGAGCACAGCTTGGGCAGTGATGTTTCATTGAAAAATCTTGATAGAAGTGTCTCATCTTTCGCGATGCAATTAAAATATGTGCAAGGGGTCGAGAGTTTCAATGGCAAGCCAAGTCATGAAGGAGATGACAGTCATGACAAAGAACGAGATTATCCTGATGTTGAGAGATTAAGAGGATTTCAGGATAGTGAATTTAAAAATTTTGGAAACAGTTTTAAGGAGCTAGGATATTGCATGATGGAGCTGGGGCTTCGCCTTGCTCGAGTTTGTGATAAGGCCTTAGGTGGCCAGGAACTAGAACAGAGCTTACTGGAATCATTAATGGCAAAAGGGCGTCTCATACACTATCATTCAACTCTGGATAATCTTATTCTAAAAGAGGCTGCAAAAAGAAAAGGATCCACCAAAGGACGTGGTAGCAGTAAATTTCAACTTCATGGCTCAAGGGACATGGAGGAGTCAATTGGGAATGAGCAAGCACATAGAAGAGGAAATGAAGCTAGATCATGTGGAAATAATTCCAATCTGTGGCAGCAGTGGCATTACGACTATGGTATCTTCACTGTTCTGACAGCTCCGATGTTTATATTACCATGCCATCCATTAGTGACAAAACCAAATGGATGTGTTTGCGTATCACGTGAGCAGGAATGTCCTTCCCCTAGTAGTCACACATATTTGCAAATATTTGATCCCAATAAGAATACTGTATGTATGGTGAAGGCATCTCCGGAAAGTTTTATTGTTCAGGTGGGGGAGTCGGCTGATATCTTATCAAAAGGGAAGCTGCGGGCAACCCTTCATTCTGTCCGCAGACCAGAAGACCTGAAAGAATTGAGCAGAGAAACTTTTGTTGTCTTCTTGCAACCAGCATGGAGCAAAACTCTCTCTCTCACAGAATACCCTATCGAACACAACACCTCGTATGATCGCTGTTCTGACTTATATACCAAGGAAACTTGCAGTTCTGAACATACACCACATAAACTAACTCAAGAACTTCACAAAATAGTTCCACCACTTTTATCACGGTTGAAGAATGGGATGACATTTGCAGAATTTTCACAAGAAACCACCAAGCAATATTATGGTGGCAGTGGTTTACAGTCAAAGAGATGAAGATCCCCTTGGCTTTTCATACTGTAGAATGAAATGATTGGTATGAACTCTTCTGTTTTAGTTTTCGTAATATTGTTGCTTGATTTTCAAAAGAATTTTCAACTATATTCCTTTTTTGTGCTGATATAAATGCAATTGTATTTCTCATTCTGCAGCTTTTAGTTGCTTATGATTATGTGTTAGTATGTGGTGTATATGCATGTAATTGATCCTTTAGCTCAAGTCGTATGTCATTCTTCTTCCAAATGGAATGTTGAGGGTTCAAATCCCCCTAGGGGCAATAGTAGGGGCGTGTGTTGATCCTGTTCGGTGCGTAACTTACCTAAAACGAAGAAGAAGAAATGTATATGTATATACATATTGTTGGATTCTAATGTGCTCAGCACCTAATTCTTCATATCAATAACACTAGCCGTAAATGGCATTCCTTTTTTTTTTTTTCCCCTCCTACTTATTTGTCTCCTCTCTTTCTCCAGAAACTAATCTCTGATCAGAATCCTTTCACATCGATTCAATACCCGCAGTAGTGAATGCCGTGCCTGTACGTGGTTGGACCATGCTCATCTCCCTGCAGACACTTTCAGCCGTTACATGTTAATGAACTAATTCCAGTATTGATGGGAATTGGAACCCTTCATTAAGATGGAAAGTGTAAAAATAAACAGAAGCCAACTGCCTATTCAAGTTGATGTTGCATGTGAAATCCAGAGTTGATAGTCGGCCTTCAACTAGGAATGTTGTCCAATGTACTGAGGGGAAAGCATCTTGGCTTGCTTATCTAAAGGGGCATTTGCATAAGGTATTCATGCAACTCCATAACTCTTTTAATTTAGTAAATCCACATCACATTCTTCATGCCGTCCTTGAGGTTTTCTGTTGCTTATGTGCATGCGGGTCTTTTGACTGGACTGGATACACATATTTGTGATCACCACTTATTGTCTGCAATATGACGTAGAGGGTTTTCAACTTTACTCGACAATTGCAATTTTTTTTTTACTATACCCATCTTAAAGCAGGAAAGAAAGTAAAGGAGCAAAATAGCGGTGTTCACTAGAATTAGGTTAGGTGGATAATAAGAAGGTTTTATTTTCCCCGAAATTCGCTTGTATTTGCAACATATCAGAATAGGTATTAAAGTTTTGTGTATTTAGATATTTTGAATTGAAAGTTTGATTCAACTGCTCACTTTTGTCAATTACGGATATTAGATGTGTCATTATATGTTAATATGAGCTGTTTATCCTGTGGAATGTTTACAGATTGCATTGAGCGGATTCATAGTAGATGCAAGCGCGATTACTTCATGTGATTACTTTTTTTGAGCTTTTAGAGGGAGCGAGAGATATTTTTTCCTCTGTAAGCGCTTCTTTTCCTTTTCTTTATCAACTTTCACATTAAGCTAGAGTGTCGTCATTAAGAAAGAAAAATTGGGGTCTTTTAATCAGATAATTGTCTTGTGACGTTGTGTACCAAAAGCTAAAAATCCAGCAATAGATGAAAATGAATGCTTCCTTATTGTGTAGAGCCTGTGATCGGTTTGTCTTGTATTCCTTTTAAGAAAGGAAAACACTTTTTTTTTTATTAGTTTACGAACAGGAAGAAGGAAAACAGTTTTTTCTTTTTTAAAATTTACGAACATATTTTGTTCAATATATGTGTATTACACGCGGCATACGGGGGATACATTTCAGAACATACATATGATCTGTTTGTTTGCTGTGACATTGATATTTACTGTCATAACAGATACATATACAGCTAAATAATTTAAATTATACAGTCTACCTTTGTCTTGGTAACTTTGGGTGTCAACTTCTAAGTTCCGAGTCAAGGTTTCAAGACCCGTACAGAGAGGGAAAAAAAACAACAAAGAACTAAAAAATTTAAAATTAATTGACAAGCCAGTTGGAATCCAATGCACCCTCCTCAATTATATTCAAAATGTGGTCCTTTCGGCTGAATGTTACTTACTTTTCTATGAATCTATTGACTTTAAATTAAGCTATGGGTAGCCATGATAATGATACAATAACTCCAATAACAACAATGTTGGGATTAGTGAACACTGATTAATATAAAAACCTTTCGAATGAGAAAAGAGGCAAAGGACCAACTTGGAACTTTTAGATGTGTGTGTAACTGTGTGTATGTATGTGTACATATATATTATCTATAATGAAATGAAATTGAAAATGAGAGGATGGTGACGATGATTGAGAAAAGGAAGCAAAGGGAATAAAGGGTTTCTCTTTAGTCAGTAGGTGATGAAATAAGAAACAAAGAACAGTGTTTTCAAAAGAGAAAAGCTGTTCCTTTCACAATTTGTTGTTGTTGTTGTGGTGAAAGCAGACTATAGAGAGGAAGATGATGATGACGATGACGTGTCCAGGGCACGCCACCCCCGCGCATTTTAGCATTGGGCACTGGTCTGGTGCCCCCCAGAGACACAGGTGTTGTCCTCAAAATTTTCATATTGGGCCTCTGAAAACTTGGTCGGCCTATGACGTTGCCAGAACCTCATATGGAGGGATTTGTGAGGAGCAGAAGACAAAATGACCATCTTCACGTAACAACAAGACAGTAAAAGTTGATGGGCCACCGTTGGTTCCACGTTTGCCCTAGCTTATGTAACTGTTTCATGGTCAGACCAAGAATTGGGAGACAAATAAAAAAGAAACAAAATCATAGATTAATCTTTGTCTTGTTCATGAAGAAGAATAATGACAGAAAGAAAAAGGGTACTTGGGATTAATTTATGGAAAAAGCTACCATGAAATGAGTGTGTATCCTCAGCAAGAGCTTGTGTGATATACAAGTTGGACATGTATGTTCAGCAGTATAAACTAATAGGGCATTAGTGTAAGTGATACGATCTCTTACCCTACTTTTGAATCTTGTTTAGGACAATATTATGAATATGCGAACTTAAAAAAAAAATAAAATAAAATAAAATTGTGAGTTCAACGTAAACTAATACTAATACATACAATAGTGTAGATGGTACGATCTCTCAATCTGAACTCTGCTTTTGATCTCTCAGTCTGGACTCATCTTTTGAACTTTGTTTGGGGGCAATTTTATGGGTGTGGATTAGTTGTAAAGTGCAGGATTAAAAAAATTAATGTTTTACTTATATTCTAAGAAGAAGGAGCCAAATGCATGATTACCATGTTCTTACATTTCAAATCTTTCCACACTTTCACAAAAGCACAGGAAGTTACTCTTTTATACTTTCCATTTCCTCTTTATCTTGCAACCAAACTCAAAATCAACAATCCCAATAAAATATGGTAGCACTTTTTTTCATTTATTCTCCTCTAGAAATTAAGAATGAGATATTGGACCCCACTTTTGTAGAGGATCAAGGCACGTGGCAGAAAAGAGAGGGAGAGATAGGTACCTCACATCAAGTTTGTTGACCACACCAAACCCATGACCCGTCTTGACCATCCGGATCCGATTCCCACCTCTTTATAAAATGCTTGCTAGCTTTCCCTCTTTACTTCTCAAAAAATCCAAAAACCAAACAGCACCACCCTACTCTTTAAAATGGACCGCCGTCGACCGCCGCCTGTACAGACCACAGTTGGCAACGCTCAGCTGCCGGAAAGCCCAAGAGTCCCAATGGAGTTCCTCTCAAGATCATGGAGCGCCCCCGCTCTCCATGTCTCCAAAGCTCTTGCTCCTCCTCCTCCACCCAAGGAAGCAAACTCCGCCACCTCCATACCCGAGGACATTCCCGGTGAGACTGAGCAGCCACACACTGCTTCCGGAAAGACCTACTCGTTCGCCTCTTCTGCTACTTCGCAGCTCATTCTTGAACGCATTATGTCTCAGTCCGTAAGTACTGCCCAACTAACATAGTTACATATATACACACAGACACATATTGTTTGGAGTGATATATAATGTTGTTCTTAAAACTTGTTTTTTGTTACTTAAGTTCGTTGGGTTTGTGCAACATATACGCATGCAGGAAGTGTCACCGCTAACGTCAGGGAGACTGTCTCATAGTAGCGGACCTTTGAATGGCTGTCTCACTGAAGAAACCGATAGCCCTCCGGTTTCCCCCTCCGACGAATTTGACGATGTCATCAAGGTAACTCTACTCCTCTCTTATGTGTGTACACTGTCCACGAGACTCACACAGCCACTATGTGTGAGAGAGAGTTAGATGCACAAAGTCTAATATATGCTTCTTGTTTCCGACCTGTGACCTTGAGTTCACAATAAAACAACATTAACACTATAACGAAGGACCACCCTCGATCACTTTCTCTGTTTCTGCAGAAAATAACTCACAAGGGAATGCTTCCTTTTTTTTTTTTCAGTGAAAATGAGATGCTTTCCTTGCTTTATTTGAAAATGAGATGCTTTCCTTGCTTTATATGAAATCACTTTGTTCCTTTATCTTTGCGGCATCTCTTTGTTCACACTGTTTTATTAGTTGTTAGTGGGTTTTTCTCACCTAATTTGAGGAAGCCATATATTTTCATATAATTTTGCAAGCTTAACAAAGGCCGAATTTTTAAATATATTAGTACAACTAGATTGGCCAAGAAGTTCCATAGTTTGTAATTATATGGATGTTAATAAATTACCTAGAATGTTTGGACAAAAATTGGCGCATGAGTTACTTGCCAGTGTTAAAAATATAAAATTTTAATCTCTCTAACACGCGGTTATATACACATTCCCGCCCAATTTCTAATGGTGAAAACTTCTGTTTAAAGTGGTACTGTTGGTTTGCTAGAGCAAACAGTACTGTTATGAACAGTTAGTATGAGAACTTTTAACGGTATGGTGTTGTGAACATTGAGATATTTTTACATTTATATATTGATTGATTTTTGTAAAAGCTACTGTATTACTGTTTCTTTACACCAACTAAAAACATGTGATAAGATAGGTGGTGTACGTGCTGCGTTGCTCTATCATTTTGCTTGTTTCAGTTAATCTGAAGCAAAACTGGCACTGATTTGCCAGACTATGCATACACTCTTTACTTACATACACATGCACACGACGCACGAACAAACACACACATATGTATATGTATTTTCTTCATGTAAAAAACCGATGTAAAAGTTATTCCAGTTGCACAGTTGCATGAAATTGGTATTGATCATTCGAGATATGCATGCAGTACTTGCGTGCAAACAACACGCTGCAACCCCTATTCGGCGGCCATGGCAATGGAGGCAGAAACACCACTGGCGGTAAGACTGTGGGGAGATGGTTGAAGGAAAGGAGAGAGAAGAAGAAAGAGGAAACCAGAGCCCACAATGCGCAGCTCCATGCTGCTGTTTCGGTTGCAGGAGTGGCTGCTGCAGTGGCGGCAATTACTTCAGCCACGGCAGCAGCAGCATCAGGGAAGGATGAACAGATGGCGATGACTGACATGGCGGTGGCGTCAGCAGCAACATTAGTGGCTGCACAGTGCGTGGAGGCTGCGGAGGCTGTGGGAGCTGATCGCGACCACCTCACTTCGGCCATTAGCTCCGCTGTGAATGTCCGGTCTCATGATGATATCGTCACTCTAGCTGCTGCCGCAGCCACAGGTACGAAATTTTGGAACTCATTAGAGGCTTTCTAGTAATAAAACCTGACTGCATTAGGGGAGTACTAGAAGAATTTTGAATACCTAAACAAGAACTAATTATATTGATCATCAAGTGGTCTCCTTGATAAAACGATGTGTTAGAATGCTACAATAATTGGCTTTATTTCACCGTCTTCCATGATGGTCCTGATACCAGTTGGTTCTGAAATATCAGAGCCTAGTGGTATCTCCACTATCTCCTATAGTAAAAGGTGAGATTCAAATCCCGTACAAGGATGAGTAGTGTGTCAGTTTCTTGCCAAGAAAAAAAATAAAAATAAAAATAGACCTTTCTGAATGCAAAAATGTCGACTCTGTGCAGCGCTACGTGGGGCAGCAACCTTGAAAGCAAGAGCACTAAAGGAATTGTGGAACATTGCAACAGCAATACCAGTAGAGAACGGAGTAGGAACTAAGGCAGGAGCTAACGGTTATGGTACTCATACTAATGGTGGTGGTGCCATAGAGTTTGTTCCTGGAGAAAATTTCCTGAGTGCTTGTAATCAAGAGCTTCTCGCCAAAGGTAGTGAGCTTCTCAAACGCACACGCAAAGGTAACAACACCATTTGATCTTAACATGATTGAGATTCAATGAAATGTCCATATTTTACAGTGAGAGCATATTTACAAATAACATGGTTCTCTGATGGAGCAGGGGATCTTCATTGGAAAATTGTCTGCATTTATATCCATCGAACAGGCGAGGTGAGTTGTATGAAATGTTTATTACCGAGCTCCAAATGCCATTCTCGGATCCATTATCGTGATATAATTCTTATTATTTTTTCAGGTGATGCTCAAGATGAAGAGCAAACATGTTGGAGGAACCTTCACCAAGAAGAAGAAAAGTAAGTTACAGTAGGATCTAATCCATTTTCGTCTCCGGGAAATGCTTCTAAACTTGTGTTTGAAACAATATGTTAAAACTTTTGTGGTTTGTATTTTATTTGAGTTGCAGATGTGGTATTAGAGGTATGCAAGGATCTGCCGGCATGGCCTGGGAGGCACCTTTTTGAGGATGGGGAGAAGCGTCGCTACTTTGGATTAAAGACGTCAACTCGTGGGGTTGTAGAGTTTGAATGCAGAAACCAGAAGGAATATGATGTCTGGACTCAGGGTGTTTCAAGGCTTCTTTCTATAGTGGCTGAATTGAAGAAGAAGAGGCGTCAAACTTGAAATATATGATGAAAGACATAAAAAAGATGAGTTTGTTACACATCAAACGTTGTCAAAATAATATCATGTATTATGTCTTGAATTGCTCTCTCCTAGCGCCTCACAAAACACGACAAATTGCTCTCTCCTTGCACCTCATAGAGCCTCATAAAACACGACATAAGTCAGGATCTGGGCTGTCGAGTCCCTTACAAGAAGTAAATCAGAATGCAATAGTGATACAACAATGATATAACACTTGAGCAACACAATACATCAAAGATGTAACATCCATGCAAGCATGTTACGTCACGTTGAAATGCTATCACACCATTAAATCGAGGACTTAAAATATATTACAATACTATAACACCATTAAATTGAGATTATAGTGAATTTAAAATTGTTACGTTAACGACGTAAAACTGTTGCACAGAACAGACATAGGATTCCATAAGTCACTGCCAATATGCATTCACACCTCATAAAACAGGACATGTCTGTTGATGACTTTATACCATCACAGCTTCACCACAAGTCCATAATGTAAATCAGACAAACGGGAAAGGCAGCCACTAGTGAACTACGCTAATGATTTTGCAGTCATTTGCGACTGAGACCGACTTTCCACATTTGGACAGATTTAACACACACCCTTTTCTCCTTAATTGCATGCAAAAGTCACCATTTCGCCCTAGGTCTCATCGACTTTCTTACATTTGTTTAAATAGTGGATAACATAAAAGCAAATTTACACCATGCTCTATAGCGCAAACATTTTACAACATCACACAGCAAATGTCAAGAGAGAAACACAGACAGAGAGAGGTAGTACCAAATGTGCAAATTCATTGCATTCAGCGTAAATTGGGCAAGAACCCTTCAATCAGCTACAATCAATATGAACAAGTAACAGATCTAGATAAGATTGTCATTCTGTACTACAAGCAAGTTTGCTTCCGACCCAATAAGGCAAAATGGGAAGAAAAAAAGAAACAGCAGAAAGACCTCCTCAGTTATCAGCAGCTCTAAAGATGGTCAGCAGCGCGAGGAAGAGATTGATAATATCCAGATACAGTGATACAGCAGCCCAGATGTATTCGTCATAGGAGTAGCGCTTGATCAGGTTGTCGGTATCGTACACAATATATCCACAGAATATAACTGCTGCCAGACACCCATAAATCATAACGGAGATCTTACCCAGGGGGAAGAGTATCTGCAGGAAGAGGAACAAGAATGACCATTACCATATTAGAACAAATTACAAGTAATCTGAATATGCTGCAATCAGAAATCCAGAAGCAAGACAAATGAAATGCAAACAAAAAAATCCATGTACCTGAATAAAGGAAAAGACCATAAGCACAATAATAGCACCAAACAAGAAGGGCCCCAAGAAGTTGAAATCATGTCCTCTTCTTGCAGCCCAGAACGTGTACAAAGTTAGACTAACCACCACCACAGTTGTTAGAATGACAGCTTCCAAAATGACCTTCCCTGTAGTTGATTGATATTACACACATTAAAAAAGTTTAGACATCCAACATACATATGAAAAACAGAAGCATTTATTAATCTTCAACAGAAATATAAAAAACAAGTATCATGAATATCTGTCAGAGTAACAGATTCCAAAATGACCTTCCCCGCAGTTAGTTGAAATCAAACATATAATGAAAGACGCCCAACATACATTTGAAAAACAAGTGCTTATTAATTTTTGATTGAGCGTAATGCTCAACATTCAGAAACCTACATTATATTACAAAACAAATTACTCAATAACTGCCACTCAGCAATGAAAGCCAAACCCAAAAAGAACCCAAAACATGGCAAGTGGTAACTATAGCAAGAACCATACACAAAAAATGAAAAATCATCTCCACCTTGTCATCTGCATACTATTGACTGTTTTGTGTATCCTTCTCCATACCAATGCCTCCCATTATACAGAGCAAAGATGTAAAATCTATAACTAAATTTTTTAACCCAAGATTCTACTACAGGTCACCATGTACTCCTATCGTTTCAGCATTAACTAAAAACCTAATATAACACCACATTCTTCCAAAGGCAAACAATGATCCCATCTCCTAACATAGCCACAAAACAGTCAATTAATCATCAATTCAGATTGACATTTCAACATTATTAAGCATTCAAGAAAGAAAAAAAAAAGGTGCACTTTACAAGAACTCACATGCAGACAACATGATTCAATTAAAACTTACACTTCATATTTTTGCTACTTGTTTTCCCAATAATTATTTTGATTTTGCATGAAAATGCCTCAATTCCACATCACATCATAACTAGGGTTTCATCAATTTGGTTCAGCTACCTACATTATTGATATATTCAACTTCACAAAATGCCCTGATTAATGTCAATTAGCATTGGGAACTAGGGCATTATCAATTTTTTGAACAACAATTGAAAAAGAATATATTAAAGAAAACAAAAATTCGGAGTGCTTACCACTGGTGAATGCACAAGTCAACCCGATCGCAAAAGCAAGAGTGATAGTGAACACACCAAGCAGTAAATAGTTCACCGGATGACGCTGGTGATAGTAATACAAGGGGCACAAAACTGCAAACAAGTTCAAATAAACTAATCAATCAATCAATCAACTATCACTCAATCAAATAAACCAAGAAATCAAGAAAATCACATCAACTGTCTCAGAAATTGTTTCAATCAAGCGTCGATTGAAAGCATACCGATGAACGGAGTGATGATGAGCACGATGTAAAGAGCCAATCCGGCAGTGGTGGAGACGAAGAAAGTGGAGATCGGACGGTAGGTAACGACGACGGATGCGACGGCGATGGTGAGAAGTAACTGGAGGGAAACAATAGAGTAAATCTTGCGAATGAAGGCCCACCGGAGCTCCGGTGCCTCCAGCATCATCGGGTAGAGTGGCTGGCTTCCCGATTCCACGTCAGCTTTCCGGAAGGGTTGTTGAAACATCTTGCAAGAATTGATCAATCAGACGACTCTGCAATCGAATCAAGAGGTTGAAAACGTCCCTGAAATAAAAACAAACGAGATGATTTGTAGAGAGAGAGAGAGAGTGCGTAAACGTTTCGAATTCGGGGGTTTTTGTTGTTGCTTGGCAGAACGGTTGTAGAAAGTTCGTGACTCGTATAGCGTATACGAGTGATTACACGTGGAATGTTCTCGCGTTTTGCAACGAGGATATGCTTTACTTCTCCGCATAAACTTTAAAGATATTTATTCGAGAAATTAAATAAAAAAAAAATGTAATATTAGAAAAGACAAGGTATATAATGTGCAAACCAAACGCTGAATGCGATGATTATTATTATTATTATTTTGTTTTTATTTTTATTTTTATAACTATTGTTTTTGCATTTAATGATTACTTCATACATATATTATATGTATATGACTATATTTATATATATTAGTCTTTTATAGTTCAATTTGAAATATAATATATATACATATTATTATTTTGTTTTTATTTTTATTTTTATAACTATTGTTTTTGCATTTAATGATTACTTCATACATATATTATATGTATATGACTATATTTATATATATTAGTCTTTTATAGTTCAATTTGAAATATAATATATGTACATATATTATATGTATATGACTATATTTATATAGGTTGATGGACTTGCTCATGGTCACATTGCTTGGCCAAAAATTTTAGTTAGCGGGCAATTGACCGTTATTAGAGGCGAATTAGACGCGAAATGACGCTGTGAACTAAATTGGTCAAAGCTAGTTTAGGTTTTAGGCATTTACCCTATTTGGGGGGGGGGGGGGGGGGGTGTTCAATTTTTAAAATTCCTGCCACTAAATCAGCTTTGAAGAATGTATTTTGAAGAAAAGAATTTATAGCAAAAAAAATTATTTGTGTGGTAAATTTTTTGAAGCTATTTTAATTATTTACATAATTTAATTTAACAATTATATCCTTAATAAATCATGAATAATAACAAAGAGTTGAATTAAAATGAACAAAAAAGGGGAGAAAAAAAAAAAAAAAAACCATAATTGAAGTGATAGAGTGAAATTGTCAATGATACAATAACGATTAATTGGCATAGTGAAGATACGGTATACAAATTTAATCCAACCCAATCTACATGCTAGAATTATTATTATTTTTTCCTTGACTATATGATAGAAGTTGAAAGAGATGGAAAAAGAAAATGAAAGAAAAATAAAACCAAAGAGCAAAAAAATCTCATTTTTATTCTTATTTATAAGTAAAAATCACTTTAATAGCGGATCAAGTAACCTTCAAAAAAGAAAATATATATATATTTTTTCAGCGAAAGAAAAGTTATTTAGAATTCTACATAGGGTTGAATTTTGGATGAGAGTTTATAAATCTTAGAACTCTTTAGATTTTGAAGTAAAATGAGAGTCAATAGTAATTTTTCCTGTAACTTCTCAATCTCTTTGTTCTTCCTTTGTTGAATCTTTTTTCAATAAAGTTATGTGAAATTTTGCTCAAACGATGATACAGAAAAAGAAGGATAAAAGTTTGTAATAAAATCCAGAAATGAAAATAGGTTAAATAATGGACAATATAAAAATTTTATATTTATTATTTAAAAAGTATGTAACTTAACAAAAGACTTTTTGAATTTAAAAGTTGGTTTTGGGATTACAGAAAGCCCAGTCAACTTGTTTTAGAGCTGGGTCAATTATTGCCATCACTAGCTAGCTAGCCAGCCAGCCAGTACCATATATAAACCAAATATTGGGCTCTTTGAGAAAATGTCAATATGCACAATCGATCCAACCTAATATTCCAAGAATCAGATTCAAAAAAATTCAATTAGTAGGGATTAGATCGGATTGATGTCTAATCCTAGCCCTACTGTTTAATTCAAGCTTTACTTACTAGCATCTCAGTTCGATGTTTTGTTTCTTTTATTGTTATGTTTTTATATATTTGCCTCCCTAAAAAAAATAATAATAATTCAAGGCCTTTTATTTTTGGATTGTACTCCACTACCTTTTTTCTTTCTTTTTTAAAATAAAATGACAAAACCATTCCTAAACTCATTAGTCTGTTGCAAGTGCTACTTTCTTTTTTTTTTTTTTTAAATAAAATGACAAAAATATTCCTAAACTCATTAGTCTATTGCAAGTGCCGTATTGCCGGAGTGGTTGGGTTGCTCCTTGTGTGTGAAGAAAAAAAAAAAAAAAAAAAATTAAATTTTATTTTTTATTTTATCTTCTTTAGTTTCTCTAATATATTTTTCTTTTTTTGGTCATGACGAAAGAGATAATTTTTTCAATAGAAATAACATATAATAGAAATAAAATGAATTGTTGTAAGGCTTAAAGGGGTTTAAGAAAAAGCAAAATATATGCTTTTTCCTAAGCAATATGATGGAAGAGAAAATCTTGATATGCCAAAGCAAGTTAAAAGAAGAACAAAATGACATTTTTTTTTGTATCTAGAGCTCTCTAACTTAAGTTATAGACAACTCTATTTGATCATCAACAAGGTCAACTTCAATATTCAAAGACATTTCAAATTAATTCTTCTAAAGAGAGAAATCATTTTTTTTTTTCAAGTGGCATGTCTTGTTATTCATGGCCACAAGTATACTTAATTTACAATGAGGTTTGAGCTAGTGGGGCATTAACTAAGTTGAAAAAAAAAAAAAAAAAAAAAAAAAAAATTATAAAATGACTCATACCAATTGTCCACTTTGCTATATTCATAGAATAGTACAACGAATGATTTATGTAACGATCCACTCCACCACATGATATGATATTTTCATTTTGAGCTCGAGTCGCACAATTTTATTCTTAAGTTTTACCCCAAAATACTTTATATCAATTAAAGTGTGCAATTCTACATACATATATATAACATTAATATTGATTAAGGTACTGAATAACATATTTAGATGTTATCTCAGTAAAGTTATTGATGTTGAGTATTTTCAAATAACTAAGTCAGTTTTATTGAATTAAATGAATATGATGAAATATAATTCGCCTAAATGATATCAAATAAATGAAAAAAGACTTTTGCTATGTTTGGTTGGATCAAATTAGTGGCTTAAAATTAAAATTAGAGAAATTTTAATCTAAGTTAAACTAATTTATGGCAAGGCTCATTTTAACAAAATGTTTATGACAAGGCTCATTTTATCGGATTTGAATTACAATTTCCAATTCAAATTGAAAATCAAGTACAATATTGATTTTACTAATAATATAATGTTAAAAATATATTGAAACATATTATTGTCCGGAGTAGTAAATTTGTATTTAGTCTTCATGAAATCTAAGAGCCTGCACCCAATTCTTCGCATGAGCTCCGATGGTCTATGAGGACTCTTATTCTTAAGAAATTATTCTCTTTCTTTTATTTTCCTTTCCCCTCTTCCATTTTTGGGAAAAAAAATTTATTTCTAAATTTCTAAACATAATAAATAATTACAATTATTCACACAATCTCTATATTTGTGCTGTCAATGTGGTATGAAACCAAATATATATATACACATAGAAATACAAATCAAAAGACTGCATTTGAAGCTTATATGTCTATAGCAAACATGGGTAAATGTTGTAAATATGGTTCAACTTATTCATCTAATAGTTTATGTAATTTTTCTATTTTTAGATAGGAGCATATTTATCTGCTGCTATGAGTGATATATAATAATCTGGAAGATTGTATAGTTTATACAAAATTTAGAGTGGTCAGTCTATGTGGTTATATATATATACTCATCTAATTTTTCATTGTGTTGAGTTGTGATTTTCTATTGCGTTTATTGATAACTATATCATACCATGTAAATTAGAACAATCAAGTTTCAAGAGCGTGAAATACTGAAATGCAATACAATAATTAGTGGCATGAATAGATTGATGTCGAATAGGTAAAATTAGAGTTTTCAAACCATTAATATCTCATGAAAAACATGGGCGAGGATCATGTATATAATGCTGTAATATATGCTTCCCAAACATGCCATATGTCTAATCACATGATCACCAATGGACTCAACGAGGATCATGATTATTAATTGTTTATTATATTGTTGTGATATATTTTTAGAAAATGATAAATAGTCTAAGAGTAGAATATATATATATATATTTAGAGTTCATGTATCGATCTCACAACGCATTCACTATTTAAATGACTTATGACTTAGATTTCTGCCAACGCTGCCCCTGACAACTTAGGAGTAGAGTATATTTGATGATTTTTTTTGTTTGGGCGCAACGGAAGCAAAACAAAAATTTATAAAACTAAATCACTTGAAAAACATAATATTTATATGGTTTATCCAAAACAAGATTTACATGATTCATTCAAATTTGGGTTACATCCATAAATGAACGAGAGTAATTACAAACCCTCTAGAGATTGCATTTACTAACTACCCGTCTCCGCACGCGTATATCATAAAATTACAACATAAAATACCATTCTAAAATATCAAATTCGAGACATTATTATCCTAAGAGATTTCAGTTCAATCAAAACTCTCAAAAATAATAACGATAACGATAACTTGATGAATATGATGATGAGAAGACGAAGTGACATACATAATAATTAATTTTTGCTGGTCCAAACCCAATTACATGTCAATTTCAAAAGTCACCTTTCTTTTGTTTTGCCAGGTTTCGCAACTCTTTTCACCTACCAAAATCTAATCAACCTGTGAAATGCCAGAGTGCATATGCCATATCCTTCCAAAAAGAAAAAATCGATTCAGAGAGAGAGAAAGAGCAATGGCAGTGGTTGAAGCTACGCCTGGTTTGAGTAGCACAAAATGTGCATTTTGATAGAGGAAATTTAAGTGTGAAATGCATCACAGTAGACCCATCAAAATCAATTACACCAAAAAAAAAAAGGAGCTACCTAAGCAATTGCTACTTGTCTCACCCACTTTACCAGGCACATCCCTGTTATTGTGTCTGTTCATGGCTTCTGTTTGAGCTTCCATTCCTACACTCAGCTTTTCCACCATATTTCTTCCCATGGTTTTATATTGGTTGCACCTCAGGTATCTCTGTGTGTGTGTGTGTGTGTGTATATATGTGTGTGTGTGTGAGAGAGAGCGTCTACATAATGTGTTTGCTGAATTTTTTATGGTTCATGCATCATCTCTTCTATACTTGACTTTTGGTGTTCTCAATGAATCTATTCGACTGACTGAATTTTTAATGAACCAACATATTAGTTCATTACATTAAAATTTATGAAATATTTTTTTTATTAATTATTGTGATACATGAATGAATTTATCCAAATTTACTAGTTTCGTATTATGAATATCGCAATTTATTGTTCGGAAATAGAATTTTCATAATACCTTACACTTTGTGAGAGGTTTTGACTATCTTTAAGAAGCAAGAAATTCACACACACCACACTCACATACTTATTTTGTTCATTTGGAAACTCGACCTCTTATCATTCATGAAAGGTAGAGAAGATACTATTGTGTCACAAGGCCCTCTTTTAATACTAAAGTAGATTAAAAAAAAGAAGAAAACAACTAAAAATATAGATTTTAATTTCTTTATGGGGTAAAAATAGACTAGGGAACCTTAACGGATTGATTTTTACAATTTTTCGACCCATCTTGAAATTTACTAGGTACGGATTTATTTGGATTATATGGGTGTTGGAGATAGATTATAATCATAAGATCTGAGTAAAACACTTACTTTTAAATTTGATGCAGACACTGACACTGAGATATATATGGATACTAAATCAAATTTGAATGATTTAGTTCTATATCCGCTCCATCTGATCGATCTAGTGGCCTGGTGTTAGGTGTTGTTGATATACTACCTTTGTGTTTTAAGATTTATAGAAGAAATTATCATATGGTCCGGAATTATATAATCCCTACAATAACATAGGAAAAAAAAAGAAAAAAAAAGCCTGAATAAAATTAACAAGTCATTTTTTATTTTTTTATTTTATCGAGATCATATAGTACCGTACTACCTCATAATTTCTCCAATTACGAGCTTTTGGTGATTATGATAATGGTAGTATTATTACATTGTATTTATTGTGGATGTATTGTATGGTGGTGGCAATTGTGGTACCATTGGTGCTTGCTGGAGGAAGTAATTAAGAACTAAGAAGTGGTTGATGTGGTGATCCACTTCATCTATATATGTGTGCCACCAAAAAATGTTAAAACTTTCCATCAACCTTTCACTTTCATTTCCATTTCCATTTACATTTCCATGAGAAGAAGAACAAATTACATGTTTGCGGAACTTTTTCTTCGTTTTTCGGGGTGATTTAGATATATAAAATATTTATACAGCAGTCTTGACATTAATGAAGATTTTTTTTGTTTGTCGTGATAGGAACCAAATGAGTCATATAGTTGCATATATATATATATATATATATATATATATATATAAATTGAAAATTCTGTGTAGATTTTCTCTTTGTAATGCATTAGTTACTTTCTTTAATTTTTTCCTTCATTTTCTTTTGTATAGAAGGTATTTACTTCATTTTGTTATAAATTTATAACATTTCATAGGTGTAATATGTAATTAAGTTTTTATGCAATTTTAAATATATTTGATTCCTAACCATCATATGAATTATTGTTATGTTTGGCGACACCAAATCGACAAATTGAATTTAGAATTGGAGAAAAATTTATGGTGTTTCCAAACATAACATATGGGTTTTTAGTACTCAACAGTAAGAACTAGCATTCTTATTGAGACTAGACTCATAGGGAAAAAAATAGATTTATGGATGGAATCAAATATGCAGTAGTTACAGACAAAAGTATTTAGTTATTGGAGAAAAATCAAGATACTTCTAATGTCGAATCAGGATCAACTAGGACAGAAATAAAGCATTGAGTCGAACTCTTCTTTGGTGTCAGGCTGTAAACAAGTCAAGTGTGTAGCCGTAGTCACAGACTGGTTATGTACAGGTCTTCAGATAGTGCTAGCTGATTACAGTATTCAATTTCAACCCAACCTTCTCAAGCTTGGTCTTTATGGCCACAACAAAGGTGGACTGATAGCATTTGCTATCGCGCTAGGGCACGCCGGAACATCCCTCAAGTTCTCTGCATTAATAGGAATAGACCTAGACCTCGTCGCTGGCTGTAGTCCCAATTTCCAATTACCACCCCACATTCTCACCTATGTTCCTTACTCATTCGATCTGGGAATACCGGTTTCTGTATTTGGTACCAGCTTGGGTGATGAACTGAAAGAAGGTTGTATAATGGCAAAACCGTGTGCCTTGGATGGTGTGAACCATATTGAGTTCTTCACGGAGTGCAAACCTCCTTGTTACTACTTTCTTGCCAAGGAGTACGGTCACATGGACATGTTAAATGATAACGCAGTGAGTGGTTGTGCGTGCGCGAGCGGAGACATACCAAGTGATTAATGAGGAAATGTGTGGGAGGAATTGTGGTGGCATTCATGAAGGGTTACTTGGAAGGTCAGAGTTCTGCTCTCGAAGCCATTGTTCGTGATCCTACTGTTGCTCCCACAAAGCTTGATCCGGTGATCTTCGCAGAAAAATGAAGTCCGTTTGATAACCTGTCGGGTTGTATAATGTAATAAAAGGGCCGTTACCAATACAATATTGTTAATTGATGGTGTTGGGATGTGAATTATATATATGTAGTAATAATTATGTTGATATTAATCTTCAATTCCTAATGGAATGTATTAAGAATTTAAGATCACAATTTCAATGTGGTTTTGATAGTCAATACTGTAAGTGGTTAGTTTTTCTATATATGTTCACGTGTAATGCAAAAATATACTCTTCTTATGTCTAAACATACTACTCGGCCATAGGTCCTAGAAAAACCCCTCCTCCAAAGGGAGGGCATAGTTGTGATAAAGAAGGGGCTCCTCTGCAAATGGTGAAGCGTATTCTTCTTGCTTATGAGCGGGCTTCGGGGCAAATGGTGAACTTTGTAAAATCAGCCCTTTTCTTTTCTAAGAATACCACCCAGTTGCGACGTATGCAGATTTGCCAACTCTTGGGTATTGGGGAAGAGGGATTAATAGCTCGATATTTGGGAATGCATGCGCTTATTGGACGTTCCAAAATGGATGTGTTTAAGTTTGTGTCTCAGAAAGTGCAAAGTCGGTTGATGACTTGGAAGTCAACTCTTCTATCCAAAGGAGGTAAGGAAGTTCTTATTAAGGCAGTTTTAAGTGCCTTACCGACGTATGTTATGGCGTGTGTTCGGTTACCATCTTCTTTATGTGAGGAGATTATGAAGTTCATCAGATCTTTTTGGTGGCGTAAAAAGCCTGAGGCTCTCACTGTTCATTGGGCTAACTGGGACGTTTTGTGTAAAAGTAAGAAAGCTGGAGGCTTGGGATTCAGAGATATGCAGGCGTACAATTTGGCTTTGTTTGCAAAACCGGCTTAGAATTTTCAGGTTCTTCAAAAAGGATTAGCTTTTAAATTGTTCTTTTATGGAAGCTGCCCTAGGATGCACTCCCTCCTGGGCTTGGCGGAGTTTATGGTCCACCAAACCCGTTGTTAAAAAAGGCCTTCGATGGATTGTGGGTGATGGAAAATCTATTAATATTTAGAACGATTCCTGGGTACCTTCCATTGAGACTTTACAGTGTGTGAATCCGCAGGTGTCTGTTCATAAAGTGGAGGAGCTTATTGATTTTTCTACTTTTTTGTGCAAAACTCATCTCCTCTCTCAGTTGTTTTCTGGGGAGGTTGTGGAAGCTATACGTGGGATTCCCATTAGCATGTGGGGTCTCGCGGATCGTCTAATCTGGGGGTATACGGAGTCTGGAATTTTTTAGGTTAAATCAGCTTATCATGTGGCCTTTTCTCTTCTTGCGCCTCAAGTGGATAATAGAAATTGTAATCCAAAGAGTTGGTCACATCTTTAGAATTGTCGGTGTCCCAGTAGGTTAAACATTTTTTATGGTAATATGTTCAAAGGGTGTTTCCAACGAAGTCTGCTTTGATGATCAGGGGTCTGGTAAATGATGATTTTTGTATGGAGTGTGGAGAGGGACCTGAAAATATGGAGCATATTCTTTTACGCTGCCCTAAGGTAATTCATGTATGGCAGATTTCTCCTCTGCGTTTGGATGTTTCAGCTTGGGTTGGTCAGTCTTTTGAGAATTGGTGGTTAGCTATATGTAATTTAGGGGCTGATGTGCGGGATATGGTGGCTTTTGTTGCTTGGGCACTTAGGAAAACTGAAAATAGTTTAGTTTTTAAGAGAAAACTTTTTACGACTCAAGGAGTTGTGAACTTGGCAGTGGCAACCTTTTGGGAGTTTAGAGATGCTTGTTAGCTTAGCATGGATGGGTCGGGAGTTACTCCTTCCAAGGTTCTTTCTAGTTGTGCTCGGTGGAAGCCTCCAGATTTTGGGTCCGTTAAATGTAATCTTGATGTTGCTTTCCTTACTAGTCAAGGTTGGGCCGGGGGTGGAATTGTTTTTCGCAATCATGGCGGTGTCATTTTGCGCGTGGTAGAGCTAAAGTCTTTTAAAGCTTCTTCAGCCCTTTCGGCAAAGGCGTTTGTGTAACGACCCGAACCCGTGAGTCCAAACCGTTAATCGGGTCCTTACCCGAACCCATGGTCACCTAAGTCAATCCCGACATGTCTAGTGTCAAAAACGTCATTCTTAGGTAATAATAATGCTTCACAAGGCTCTAAACAACTATCCCAAGCTTCAAGGTGAATAATACTGGAACAAGGAACAAGGAACAAAAAAGACAAAACAACATCAGTTTAATCGACCGAAGTGATGCTTCGGTCGGCCGAAGCAAACCCCTCCTGAACCGGTGGCCAACCGGTGTTGTGATACCTAAGGCTACTGGAAGAACTGGTCAGCCGAAACAGGCATTTCTGCCTGCCGAAATGGCTTTGCGATCCTAGAAAATTGCAACTGAGCTGTTGTGAACTTGAAACTGAACAAGAGCCTTAGTAAGGGCTTTCAAACCAATCTAAATCTGTCCCGGCACAATGCAAGGTAATATATTACATGCCATGATTATATGCATCCACATTTTGATACAAAGCAATTTCATTTACCCCATTCAACTAAAAAATAACTATAGTTTTTACATAAAAATAGTCAAGGGCTCATAATTAAATTAAAAGGTCGTACTAGCAAACTTAAATACATTTCAAGATGATACTTTTACAAAAGAAAGGGGCTCAAACACAAAAGATAGCAAAATGAACTCCTATCCCCTTCAAGCTTGTGGTGAATTGTTATCAGCCACTTCATTCCGCTGATCTATTAAATGATAAATAATAGGTGAGCTAAACACGCAGTAGGAAGTGCCAAAGACACACCTCTTATGACCCCGTGAATCCATATATAGAATAGAAACTAAGAGGATGAGATCATACTATACCAGGGATACAATCCATAACCAGAACGTCAAATATAACTACAATAGTCATCAAAGTGACAAATATACGATGTATGCCAATGAAGTGCAATGCCATGCCCATGTTGCTCCTCTTATCCGAAACATCTCCGTTTCAACTTCCAAATCGTTAGTGTAATCCGACCTAATGCACCTCCAAGGCGTCATGAAAGGAGGATTGACTAACTATCCACGACCACAAGGCACCTCCAAAGTGTCACATCCAGCTCAGTTAACTCAACCTCACTCCCTTCTAGACTACACGAACATCGCGAGCCACTAGGCGCCCGGTTTTCACAAACACTTTTCAAAAACAATTTTCTCAAAACGATTTCATTTGCTTCAAAAACACAATTCTCTTTCTTTCCCAATGGATACATGAATGCTTCATATTTCTAAACACAATTCAACTATTGAATTTCACACTTGCTTTCCATAATAAATTTCAAAATGCGTAATTCATATTTTTATTCCACATTGATTAACATAGTAAACATACAAGGCACAAATTATATTCCACATAGGCATGGTTATACACAAAACATCAACTAACACATAATCACATTTCTCATATATATCTTTTAAGTATGATTTCTCCTCAAATAACAATTAACACATAATCACATATCACTTGTATAACATATCACTTGTATAATAATTAAGTCACCTTTGCAAGAATCCACAAAATTTAGGCATGCTTTACAACAATTAATGAAAGATAATTCACTAAAATATAATAAAATGTGATTAGAACCCCCTACATCAAGAAATGAAGAAAACCACAATTTGAGCCCTCAAATTTCAAAAATCTTATAGTGTACCAAAGAAGAAATTGCTTATACCGACTTGTAGATCTCGCCAAGCTCTCCGTTTTGCCGCAAACGGCACCAAAAGTTCTCACCGGTTGAAGAATAATCAAACTTTGAAGCTATGAATGAAAAAAAGAAAAGAAAAATGAAAAGAAATGGGTGAGAGAGAAAGCCAGCCGGGGAGAGAGAATGAGAATGAGGCCAATGTTGGCCTCTTGGCCACTAAAATGAACTTAGTGGTGGGTTTCACCACCAAAAATTATCTTTTTTAACTTTTCTTTTCTTTTTCCATCACACACACATACACATATGTGCATATAAACTATACAAATACCACATAAAACACATTTAAATAAATTAAATGAAATGAAATGCAAGTGGACTCAACCAAAACCCTCGTACGCGATGATTCCAGTAACGGGTCCCACACGAAACTGTCCGACCCGAGAACAGAAAAATGTCGAAATAGCAACCGGTGCATTTCCAAGAGTCCTAAATTCAATGGAATGCCCCAACCAATCTTCGGACACACCCTACGATGTCCGGCACGCAAAACGTGAAAAGACGAAAATGCCCTCGTAAAATCAAAAAATTACAGAAAATGAAAAATGGTAAAAATTGGAAACATTATAGTTTATTTTGCGGGAGGCTTTGCTTTGGGCTAAGAATTTTCAGTTTCCTTCGTTGTATGTAGAAACTGATTCTCTGGTGTTATATGAGGCTGTGCGGAAAGATAGAGTTTGTCTTGCAGTCATTTTTTCCTTGCTCTCTGATATTCACTAGCTCTTGAATGATTCTCTTGTTGTTAGGTTTGCTCATGTGCGTCGTGATGCAAATACACTGGCTTATGATGTTGCAAAGCTTTCACTTGCTCAACATTCTTTTTTTAGTTAGGTGTTCCATGGTTTGCCTGCTCAGTTGGGTGGTTAGGTGTTGTTTTGGTGGGCAAGTTTTTTTGTTTGCTTTGTTTTTGTTTGCCATGTAAAAAAAAAAAAAAAAAAAATGTAGGAGGGCATAGTTGGCATTTGCGGTGTCAGTCGTGGTGTAATGGATTCGGACAAATATCAGTATAAATCTGTTGAACCGGTCAATTTATAGGGGTGTGTAACGATATTGAATGCTTAAAAAAGAATGTGAGGAATTCAAACTCCATAATGAAGGTATGTACCAATACAAATCGACTAATGCAACGAACGATGAATGAGGTGAGAAATTTGAGTTCCATAATGGACTGTGTGTACGAGTCTTGCCTAATTAAAAAAAGAGTATTGTCCCGTCACATAGGACAATAGCATTGTTTATAATGAAGGGTCAAAAATCCCTCACTCTTGCATTTACACATATAAATCAATTGGGTGGTGAGGGAGGCATGAGAATTAGATGATTCACGGTGAATGAATTTTGTTGTTTTCTGTTGAGAGAGATGACTGATTGTTATCTAAAATATGATATCTGACAGAGGGTTTGAAGCTATGTATCTCAACAAAGGGTCGCTTGCACCATGTAGGGGCTAATGGACACATTGTGGGCCATAAAATTTGAATCATTAATGTTTGGTTTAGTTGGAGGGATGAAAATATGATATCTGACAGAGGGTTTGAAGCAGTGTATCTCAACAAAGGGTCGCTTGCACCATGTATGGGCTAATGGACACATTGTGGGCCATAAAATTTGAATCATTAATGTTTTAGTTGGAGGGATGAAAAAATGAATGAAAGGAAAAGGAAAAGGGAAATGACAAAAGGAAGGGTGAAGAATGAATAAGACATCAAGAAAGAAAAAATATTTTCTTTTGTTCGGTTATGCGAAAAGGATGGCAGAAAGAATGGAGAAAGAATGGATGGAGTCGCGGTTTCATTTTCTTTTAATTCTTTGGTTGAAAAACTGAAAGGCAATACAATAATTAGTGGCACGATTTGTTTGATTAAGAAAATATAAAAGTGGAGACTTTTAATTAAAATCATTACTATCTCATGAAGAACATGGGGTGAGGAGAGTGACTACACAAAAGGAAATAGACAAGGTTTGTAATGATTCCAAACCATGCCATATTACCAATCACAAGACCGATGTGAGGACCAATGGACACATTGTGGTCCATGCTCTATTTACTTTTCCGAGACATACATTAGGTACAACGATTTTCACAAATGTAACTGTTCACTACTAAAGTGATTTAACATGATATAAATTTTATAAACGAAGTGACACCATTATCTAAACACACTTTATTTTTTATTATTAGTTTTTTATTTGGGTATTCGTACACACAGATTTTCACGGAGGTTCGAACTCCTGACCTCTCTTTAAAAAATGGAGACTTGGTACCGCTATAATTAAAAACTAAATTTTAGATGTAGTGACCAATTATGTCCGCAGTGTTTGAAAATAAAACCTCTCCAGTTACCCACTCACCATTGAGAGGTAAAAAAATTTAACTTGACGATTGAGTTAAAATTTTACCAAGTTTCTAATACAAGTATACATCTTTATTATACTAACATATTTATTATTTAATGAATTGCCTTTCACTTTATGGCACCATTTTCTTTTTTTGTTCAATCATTCTTCTTAGAATTTAATAGAATTTAAGGTTATGAGAGCTAGTAAGATTTAGTCTGTGGTGCAAGAATTAAAGTTGTTCAATTCAACCGAATTCTACGTATTTAAAATTTTCAATTTGGAGAAATTTTGTGAATTGACTGATTTGGATCTATTTGTAAGGTAGATGTATCCTAACTCTAATAACCCATAATTATATGATTTGCTTTTTTTTGTAATTTTGTTTAGTAACATGTTCTGTATACATATTTTATCTTTTGTTAAAAAGTAAATTTCTTTCTTAACTTGCTGACTTGGTAATGACAAGACTATTTTAAAGAGGTGGCGTTAATCACCAAAGCTAAATACTCACTTGACACCGTCCAATAAAAAGTAACTGGAGGAAGATTTTTTTTCCGTGGCCTATGACAATCTCAGCTAAGCATGACATTGTTGTATCTTGTAATAAACACTTTTTATATCTATAAAGTTTTCAAAAAAAAAAAAAAAAAGTATTTCATGTTAAAACTTTAAAAAGTAATTTGGTGATGTAATAAGTAAGCACTTTCCATTAACATATACTCTTGTAGTCTACTTAGAAAATTTAAATTTAAGATTTCACTAATACGACAACTATATCAAAATCCGAAATCTTCTTGATTAGTCACTAAAAAAACAGTTTGAGTTCAAAAAATGGTTCTAAGAACTAGATAACAATTTTCAAAAACTATCAGTCAAGTAGAGTTTTTTTTACAATTTTTCAACTTTTATCTCACGAAATAAAAAATTCTTCTAAAACAAATTGAACCAAGCACACTTTATATTAACATAACTAAAAGTCAATTTCATATCAAAAGCACAATTTAGTATTACAATCTAACACCATTTATGTTCTCGCTCTTAGTCGAGTCCATTTTGCACTCCGAGAAAGTATCAAATTCAAATTTTATCATAAGCGCAATAAATTGTAAAGAAAAGTTGTTGAGGCTTATAAGTTCGCTGGATCGAAAAGATGCTAATTTGTGCACTTATTGGCGATCCTTGCCATAGCACAATATCTGACACCTACGAAATTATATTGCCCCCTCAGTGTGGGTCACACATACCTTTCATGTCTTTTGCCAAGTTTGACAACTCAACATCGGTTATAAGCATTTTAAATTTTGATTCAGAGAAAGAGAGAGAGAGAGAGCAAAATGGCACTGGTTGAAACTAGGCCTGCTTTGAGTACTACAACTTCTGTATTCGAGAGAGGAAGTTTGGGTGTGAAAAGCATCACAGTCGAGACATCAAGCCCTTCTTCACCGCCTAACAAATTGCTAGTGGTGACACCAACTGTACAAGGCACATACCCTGTTCTAGTCTTTGTTCATGGCTTCGCCATGCAAATCCTTTCCTACAGTGAGCTTCTCGAGCACATATCTTCCCATGGTTTCATAGTGGTTGCCCCTCAGGTATATACCCCCCCTCTCTCTCTCTCTCTCTCTCTCTCTCTCTCTCTCTCTCTCTTTCTCTCTCTCTCTCTCTCTATATATATATATATGCACACTCTGCATGGGAAAAGTCGAATCTTAAAGGATGGCATGCCATAAATATTTTTTTAAGCATAGCTAGTATTCAAGTTCTTTATGACGATTTCTTAAGAAGCAATTGCAGTGTTACATAAGTGTTCTTTAAGAAAAGGTTAAAAACATATTTGGTGAGCTTATATTATTGAACTGCTTTGCTTAAACATAGAAAAAGTTCTGCGGGAATGCATTGACACCAACAAGAATGGTGTCTGGATCCTCTGCTATAACGAATTCCTGTTGCACGCGTGTTTTAAAATTTTTTAACACTCTTGAATCCATTTTCAACATATGACAATTAAAAAAGGCTTGTGCAAATGTGCAATGACCGAGGAAGATGATGGAATTGATAAAATTTCATGGACGAAGACAATAGAAATGGCAATGAAAAGGGGCAAATTTATTCTAAGATGGCGATAGATTATTGCATGAAATGAACTACACAAAATCTATCTTATTGAGTTTGGATTGTAATTCTAAATCCAAATTTTTGGACTATTTAGATACAGGTTTTCTTGAAAAGATTAAGGCATAAATAGATTAGAAAAGGATACATTTTTACCATTCTGATTCATGTCACAGTTTACTAGCCAGGTTAGGATTTATTTAGATTATATTGGTTGGACATAGATTATAATCATAAACTTTGGATACATAAAATTTTCAGATGAATTTTTGGAAAGATTGGCTCTATATCTTTTCCATTTCACTCTAGTGGCCATGATGTGGTGATAACTAGCAAAGGTGTTGATGGAATTGAGATCCTCTGATGTGATTAAAACACACAGTAGCGTTGTTGATGGTGAGAAGCAAAGACTTGCACGTATCAGTTGACATTGTACTACCACTATGATTTAACATCCATGGGGCCAGTGGTAGTACTATTGCCATTATATATACTTTGGAGGTATCGTATATTTGTCAGAAGATTTAAGAACTAAAAAATGGTGGATGTGGTGATGCTACCGACATGAGCTAATGTATGTGAGCCACAAAAAATATGTAGGAGTAATGTTTTCTATCAACCATTCATTTTCATTTTCACGAGAAGAAGAACAAATCACATGTTTAGGGAATTTTTTTGTGTGTGGATGATTTAGATAAATATAATTTATATACAGAATCCTTGGTGAAAATATTTTTGTTTGAGGTGATGGAAACCAAATGAGCCATATATAGTTCGGTATTAATTCATGAATTGAATATTTAGTTTGTCTGCCATTGTTTATAACTATATATATGTATATGTTTTTCATTTGCTAACAATTTACCATATGAATTATGGAATTTTAGTGCTCTATTCTTAGTACTGGTCCCCAAGAAATCAATTCTGTAGCGGCAGTCACAGACTGGTTATCGACAGGCCTTCAAACCGTGCTAGCTGAGTATAATGTACAGCCGAACCTCCTCAAGCTTGCTCTTTCTGGCCACAGCAGAGGTGGGAAGATAGCATTTGCTCTCGCGCTAGGGCATGCCAAGACATCCCTCAAATTCTTTGCATTAATAGGAATAGACCCTGTCGCGGGGGCTAGTGTAAGTTGCCGGATACAACCCCACATTCTCACATATGTTCCTCGCTCATTCGATTTGGGAATCCCGGTATCTGTAATTGGTACCGGCTTGGGTGATGAGCCGAAATGTTGTATAATGCCATTTTCGTGTGCACCGGATGGAGTGAACCATGCCGAGTTCTTCACAGAGTGCAAGCCTCCTTGTTGCTACTTCCTTGCTAAGGACTATGGTCACATGGACATGTTGAATGATGACACTCTGATGAGTTGTATGTGTAAGGGTGGAAAGGGTTCCAAGGACTTGATGAGGAAATGTGTGGGAGGGATCGCTGTGGCATTCATGAAGGATTACTTGGAAGGTGAGAGTTCTGATCTCAAAGCCATTGTCAATGATCCTACGATTGCTCCCATAAAGCTTGATCCGGTGATTTTTATGAAGAATGAAGTACTCATTTCATAAGCATCTGTTTGAGAGTGAAAATCATTTAATTTTTCAAATTCAGACTAAATAAATTGTTAAGTTATATATGTAATAAAAGGATCATTACCATAGAGGGTTCTGGAATGTCAATTATGTATTAAGTATGTAATAAATTAATAAGTCGATATTCATCTTATATAAATTGCTATTTTTTTTTTTTATAAGACAAAATTAGTAGATGCAGAGAGTCGAAGCAGAGACACTAACCCACTGGACTATCAAGGCATCTCATCTTAAATTGCTAATGGAATGTATAAAGATCATTGTAATGTGATTTTGAGAACAATCCAACGGAGATACTAACTCACTGAATTAGCGAAACATTTGCATCTTAAATTGCTAATGAAATGTATGAAAATCATTGCAGTGTGGTTTTGAGAACAAGATTTGAGAATCAATACTCTTAAGTAGTTGTTTATTGTTAATGCTAAGATGCAAAGCAGAATGATAAGAAAAAAAATTACTCTTCTTGCTTACTGACGAATTGAATCGGATGGATGTTAAATTCAGAGACTGTGATATCCATCGTAGCAATAATCGCTTTAACTCTTGAGTATGAGAGACTATGGAACCTTACTTTGGTTAATGGTCTCTAAAGCCTAGGATAATTTGAGTAATCATTGACCAAAAACTTTAAAACATAGTCGTAAGAGTAGCATCTACGCTAGCTAATTTATTTTAACTTGATTAAACCCAAGCGCTTTGTCACGGACTTGAACCTTTTCAAGCTCCCGTGCGGCCTTAGACACTTTCAAGCCCCCTTGAAGCGCTAAGTCAGCCTACCCGAGTGTGCTAGCTTAGTGAAGACTAAGGCTAGACAAGTGTTTTGCTTACTTGGGTGTGTAGGAAGAGGTTAGGCAAGTGAGCAAGAGAGTTTGGGAATGTATACAACTTGTATTACTTGAGAGGAGAGATTACAACTTGGTTGCTTGGTGAGGAGCAAATGAACTCCCACCTCCTATTTATAGGCCTTTGGCCTTACAAGAACATTCTAGATGTGTACAAATGTGTGGCCTAGATTTAGTGTCTAGAATCCTCCTGAAATATCTACACAACTCTAGAACTATCTACTATGTACAAGACAAGTCTAGAGAATTCTATACAACTCTAGACAAGTCTAGAAAAGGCTAGACAACTCCACACTAATCTAGAGAATTCCGGAAAGTTCCATACTTGTGTAGAGAAGTCTAGAAAGCTCCAATCCATGCAGGCTCCATGTCATCGTCTGCTGGGCGTCTGCGTGGCGCCTGCGTGGCATAGCCTCTTGGTAGCGGGGTGTGACATTCTCCCCCACCTAAGCTCGCGACGCCCTCGTCGCGTCTTCTTGCTTGAACCGCTGGATATGCTCTGCGAACTGCCATAGTGTATCCTCATGCTCCCAGCTCGCCTCGCTATCTAGCAGGTTCTTCCACTTCACTAAATACTCTGTATATTTGGGCACACCTCTCCTGCTCATCACACGATCTGCAAGGATGCAATCAACTTCCTTGTCAAAGGATGTGACAACGGCCATGGGTGCCCTATGCGATATGCCCCGAGTAAGGTCTTCTGTGTCTTCATGATAAGGCTTGAGCATGCTGACATGGAAGACTGGATGTATCTTCAACTTGGGTGGAAGCTCCACCATGTAGGAGACCTTGCCCACCCGCTTGACGATGGGGAACGGGCCCTCGTACCTCCTTACTAGCCCCTTATGCACGCTCCGGAAGGACTTGAATTGTTGGGGTAGTAGCTTAACCATCACTTGGTCTCCCACTATGTACTCCACCCGCCTTCGCTTGGTGTCGGCCCACTTCTTCATCTTCTTTGCCGCCTTGTCAAGGTACGCCCTAGCCAAGTCGGACTGCTCATGCCACCTCTTGGCAAATTTATAGGCCGCCGGACTCTTACCATCGCAAGTTGAAGCAATGGCGTTGGGTGTCATAGGCTGCCGTCCGGTGACAACCTCAAATGGACTGTGATTGGTAGCCTCACTCCGCTGCAAGTTGTAAGAAAACTGTGCCACCCCAAGGAGTTTGGCCTAATCTCGCTGATTAGCACTCACATAGTGCCTCAAATAAAGCTCCAGGAGAGCGTTGATGCGCTCTGTCTGCCCATCTGATTGGGGGTGGAAACTCGTAGAGAAGTTAAGATCCGTCCCCATCTTCTTGAAGAGTCCCGTCCAAAATCTACCCGTGAAACGCGGGTCTCTATCACTGACAATATTCTGCGGAACTCCCCAAAGCTTGACCACATGGTCAACAAATAACTCTACTGCCCTCTCTGCTGTGCAGTCTGCTGGTGCGGGTATGAAGGTGGCATACTTGCTGAATCGATCTACCACCACTATAATGCTCCCGCAACCCTCTGACTTGGGTAAGCAAGTGATGAAATCCATAGAGACGCTCTCCTATGGTCTCTCTGGAATAGGCAGTGGCTCTAGTAGGCCTGCAGGATGCTGTTGCTCAATCTTATCTTGTTGGCACACAAGACAAGTCCTCACATATGTCTCCACGTCATCTCGCATCCGAGGCCAATAGTAAGAATCTTCAAGAAGTGCTAGTGTGTGCCGCATACCTGGGTGACCAGCCCATTTGGTGTCGTGGCACTCCCGTATTAGCTCCTTCCGTAAGTTGCCCCACCTGGGCACAAAGAGTCGGTCCCCCGTAGTGAGAAGTAAATCATCCCTTAGCCAAAAGCGCCGGGTCTTCCCTTCCTTAGCTAGCTGAATAAGGCTTTTGGCTAGAGGGTCATGCTGCAACCCTTCTTTGATTCGCTCCACAAGAGAGTGTTGGGGCCGACTAATAGCTGCGAGCTCGGCCTTGCGACTAAGTGCGTCCGCCATAACATTGGCCTTGCCCGGCTTATATTCGAAATGGTAAGTGAACTCCGCTAGGAAGTCCTGCCAACGAGCTTGCTTGGGGCTAAGCTTCTTCTGTTTCTGGAAGTAGCTGGTGGCAACATTATCCGTCTTGATCACAAATTGTGCCCCGAGCAAGTAGTGCCTCCAAGTACGTAGGCAATTGATGACCGCCGTCATTTCTTTCTCTTGCACAGTATAGCGCCGCTCAGTGTCATTAAGCTTGCGGCTCTCATAAGCTATGGGGTGTTCTTTCTGCATCAACACACCCCCAATAGCGAAGTCTGATGCATCTGTGTGCACCTCATATGGCTTGGAGTGGTCGGGCAAGCTAAGTACCGGCTCCTCCGTAACTACCCTCTTCAAGTCATCAAATGCCCCCTGGCACGACTCTGTCCAACTCCAAGCACGTGCCTTCTTGAGAAGGTCTGTCAATGGGGCTGCTCTCGCCGAGTAACCCTTGATAAAGCGGCGGTAGTAGTTGACAAGCCCAAGGAATGAGCGTAGCTCTGTCACCTTAGTGGGCGGCTCCCACTCTTGAATGGCCCTCACCTTTGCCTCATCCATCATCAGCTTGCCATCCCGTATCTTATGCCCTAGGAACAACACCTCCTCTTGGGCAAATGAGCATTTCTCCATCTTCACATATAGGTCGTTCTCCCGTAGGACTTGGAAGACCGCCCTCAAGTGCTGCACGTGCTCCTCTTGAGTGGTGCTATACACAACAATATCATCCAAGTACACCACCACAAAGTGATCCAAGTAGGGATGGAAGAGCTTGTTCATCAAAGTACAAAAAGTAGCAGGTGCATTGGTGAGGCCAAACGGCATAACAAGAAACTCATAGGAGCCATACCTCGTTACACACGCAGTCTTAGGCTCATCCTCGTCCGCTATCCGCACCTGGTAGTACCCCGAGCGCAAGTCAAGCTTAGTGAAGTAGCGTGCTCCACCAAGCTGATCAAAGAGATCGGCAATGAGAGGAATGGGGTACTTGTTTTTGATAGTCACCTTGTTGAGCGCCCGGTAGTCGATGCACATGCGCAAGGACCCGTCCTTCTTCCTCTGGAACAACACCGGTGCACCATATGGGGCCTTCGATGGTCGAATATAGCCCGCATCTAACAGTTCCTTAAGTTGCCTCCGCAACTCCTCCAACTCTGGGGGTGCCATCCGGTAGGGCACCAAAGCAGGGGGTTTAGAACCCGGTTCCAGCTCAATCTTATGATCCACCTCCCTCCTAGGTGGAAGCTTCTTGGGCAGCTCTTTAGGCATCACGTCCGTGTACTCGTCTAGCACGACTCGTATCTCCTTAGGCACCTCTTCTTGTGGGGAAGGGACTAGCTCATCTTCGGGTGTCTCCAGTAACGTAGCAAGGTAGCTAGTCTCTCCCTTCTTGAAGCCCTTCTTGAACTGCATAGCTGATAAAGCTTGGGCTTCCAACTTGGCGCCTCGCTCCACTGGCACCATGCATGCTGTGTTGCCTTCCATAATACACATAGTGTTAGCAAAAGGGATGGGGAAGGCTCTCACCTTGTCTAAGAACTCCAACCCAAGGACTAGTTTGAAGTCGTCCATGGGTACCACCGATAGATCTATGTGGCCACCCCACTCGCCAATGCATGCTTGGATGCCGTGTGCCATGCCATGTATGGCCTTTGCCGCCGAGTTAACTGCCTTCATGGAGCCCCCTTCTTTGCTATACTTGAGGCCCAATCTCTTGGCCTCGTCAAGGCTCACAAAGTTGTGGGATGCACCCGTGTCCACCAAAGCACGTGTGGGTGTCCCATTGATGCTCGCCTCCACGAACATTAGCCCTTTAGCCGCCGCCTTAGGGACTTTAGTTTTAGCCTTAATGGCATTAAGGATTTGCAATGAACCCATCTGCGCCTCCTCCTGTTGTTGCTCTTCATAACGGCTCGTCATGGCATTGAGGGTCTTCCGCTTTGGGCAATCTCGTACCCAATGTGGTCCATCACATATGAAGCAAGAACCCTTAGGCTTGGGTGCTCCTTCCTTGTTCTCCCTTCCCTCTTTGCCTCCATGGCCACCACCTGGCTTACGGGACTAATCCTTGTGGGGTGCAGCGCCCTTGTCTCCCCCACCTTTGCCGGCATACCTCCCCTTGTCCTTGTCTTTGTCTTTTGGTTTGGGCGAGGGTTCCTTCTTGGAGCTGAAATCAATAAAGGACTCCGCCTCTGCAATAGCTGTGGCAAGGTCTTGCACGTTGCGTCGCCTTAACTCCGTCTTAGCCCACAACTGCAATCCATCCATGAAGAAGAAAAGAGAGTCCTTGTCGGATAGATCCGGGATCTCAAGA